GACCCTCAGTGTCTAGCGAGAGAATGTTTGAAACAGTGGAACCGAGGTATTCATGAACCACATCCAGGTCGAAGTTTTTTGCATTCTTGTTTCGATGCGACTGCATCTTAACTGGTGAGAACTAAAAATGGTTATGAACAATTCTATTTACAAGCAAGCCGCTTATGGAAAAAAACATAGGGAGAAACACCTTAAGAGGAAACAGAGAAGGGTAAAGAAAAAGGAGAAAAAAGAAGGAAAGGAAAGAGGATGACAGAGTAAGACAATATTATTTGTTAATAGCAGTTTGGGCGGTGAAGGAATGTTCAGGCATTAAGACAAGGGCCTGATCCTAAAAGTTTAAAACAAAGGGAAAGTATCCGCTACGGTTTTTGATACCGTGCAACAGTCAGAAATTAGTCTAGATGCAGTCGCATCGAAACAAGAATGCATCCTTGTAGTGAGCAAATTGTTTTTGTCCGGATGTAAAAATTATAATATATATATATATGTGTGTGTGTGTGTGTGTGTGTGTGTGTGTGTGTGTGTGTGTGTGTGTGTGTGTGTGTGTGTGTGTGTTAAGCATCAGATATAGATTAAATATGGAACGGAATCCGACAGGATGATAAGATGAATAACGAATAGGAATTATTATTATCAATTTAACATATTTCACCTTTATTAAATCTCAGTCTCTAACTTAGATTTAATAAAAGTGAAATTAATATGTATGTATGCGTGTATGTATGGTAAATGTATTGATAAATGCAAAGGAAGTGGCCACTAATTTTCATTTATCAATGATGTTTACATGTACAAGACGAAGAGCCACTCGAGGTAGTGGGTTAAAGAGTTAATGGCACAATTTATCGGGATATGTGATGAAGATAACGATTAACCCTACCTTCAAATGGTTAAAATTGTAATAATCGAGAAAGCATTCTCTTGGGATTTAGTTCTCGAACTGATATTACACCTTACCACTGGAATACGAAGGGAATGATGGTGGCTGGCCACAGATGGCGTGACATGGCAGTTTCTTGCCGTGAAGGTTAGATCTGGTGAAATTAAGGGATCGAAATAGCAATAATACCCCATTTCAATACAACAGTCTGTTATAGGATAAAGAAAAAGTCTAATGAAAAAAATACAACTGATTTTTTCTATCTTGGTCATAAACATGCATCTTCAAATGAAGATTCAGTTTCTGTTCAACATAGAACAGACTTGGCAGAGTTTGAAAAAAATAAATCCCTCCGACAATTTCTTCGTAATCTTAACAAAATCAAAGCCAAGATCTACAACAGATATTTTTTCAGGACTGCTTTATGGTCTGAATTCTCCAAATAACCACAAGCCCACTCGTCCACCTCGTCAGCTTTTACCGTCTTCCTCACTGCCACTGATATTATTTGGTAGCCAGTACATCAGGGTTATTCTATCAACCCCATAGGTAGCGTATTCAGGCTATTCCATCCTTTATAAATGACGTTATGAGTGTTCCCTGTTTTTGTTTGCAGCAAGGAGCCAATGGCATGGGTAGACTTTCAGCCTTTTTTGAAGATAAGGTTGAGGGGGGGGGTCATCTGCACATTTATTTAGAAAGTGGAAGCATTCCAGAATCATATAATACCATTCATGACCAACAGATCGCATAAGGATACAAAACCTTCTGGACACAACTAGCCTGACTCTTAATCATCCCCTTAATAAAGAGTAAAATCCTCAAGTTATATGGTTATATGAAACGAAACAAAAAAGGATTATCAAAAATATGAATCGAGGGGATGCTTGCTGTAAACAGAAGCAGGGGAACCCAGCAAAAAATTTGGTATGACAACATAATCGAAGGGGACATAACTCGATCTTGGACTGTTAAACTCAGGACTGTAGACTGAGTTGTGTCATGTGAGTACGCATCCTGCTAGAGGCGAAGGGGGTGTTCTATATACCTATATCTATCTATCTATCTATCTATATATATATATATATATATATATATATATATATATATATATATATAATGTGTGTGTGTGATACAACGGTGGACTGAAAGTCCTCGGTCCGACAAATAAAGGCTTATAAAATAAATTCTGATGTTTGTTCATTTGTTGTGATTTTTGGAAAGTCGGTCGTTCCTGAGAATTTCGGTGCACCTCCACGTGTATATATACACACAGTCCGACAAAAAATATATATACATACTTCAGGGAAGGGATAAACTTGCATAGTTGTTGTAATAATAAATTTATTCAAACAACAATATTAATAGCAGTTACGTTTGAACTCGACAATCACAAGAGATGCTCAAAATGATGGCCTTTATCTTCCTGACAATTTCTTACTACGGTGTACTACTGATTAGGAAATGGAAACGTTGGCCAAACTGTCCAGTCGCATTGCTACACATACATTTTCAATTTTATGTCTAAAGATTGCCTATATAATCGGTTTTCTACGCAACATAATATCATTTAGGGTCTACCATACATAAAGTCTGCAGGTGTTCAATCAGCAAAATATCTTACAAATCAGCATAATATCGTACTACAACAAAACAGTTTGATAAAACTACAAAATTTTCCATTCCTGAAGTATGTATACATTTTTTTTTTGGCGGACTCATTCAAGAAATCATATAAAAGAAAATATGCGCCCTTCGCCTGGATTAGAAACTGCGACCCTCAGCACAGAGAGGGAAACTCTTGTTGGACCCAAAGACTTTCAAACCGTTTTAACCACGGAGTGCATCAACAATAAAGCCAAGTTAAATCATGCCTTGCAACTTCATATATTATAAACCTTATAATACCCATATTTGAGTAGACGGAGGGGGATATTTTTTTCTTTAACAAGACTTCTCGAATATTCAGGCCGGTAGACGAAAATAATTAAATATATACTGTTTAATAAATTAACGGGGCGTCTACTCAAATATGGGTCTCCACTAAAAATAAAGTTTAATACATGTCTCACTCTCTCTCTCTATATATATATATATTTATATATACATGTATATGTAAATATATATGCATCCATATATATATATATATATATATATGTACACGTGTGTATGTGTGTGTATAATTAATACAAATATATCGTTGATAGGTGTTACCTTCAGCATCCCGACCTCAGATTTGGGAGACGGATCCTCCAGTATCTGTCTATATTTCTGAGATAAGGTATTATGTACACTATTTACATTATTCGGACTATTGTCCTCATCATTGTCGCCATGTTCATCACAATGTTTCGGCCGTTGTACGCTCCGGCCTTCTTCAGGTGGTTGGAATGAACCCTTTATTTCGCTCACCGGGGTAGACTATTCTAGTTCCACGTGCCATGTGTAATGGATGCCAGTTATCTCCTGCTAATTCCCCTCTGAAAATTCTCTACTGCCTTAACCAGGTATTGAACTCACGCTCTTTGTGTCCTGTCACTGGATCTAACTAACACCTTTATCCACTATGCCATGTGTGCATGTGCGTATGAATTTCTGGGTATTATAAACCTAAGGTCTTCAGCATCAGATTTTTACAAGTGCTCATATTGCAATTTTTGCAGTTATCATTGCATAAAGGGTTCAGTTCGACATTCCAACCACCTGAAGAAGGCAGGAGTGTTCAACGACCGAAACGATGTGATAAACATGGCGACAGTAGTCCGAATAATGTAAATAGTGTACATAATACCTCATCTCAGAAATATAGACAGATACTGAAGAAGGCCTTAGCGTACAACAGCCGAAACGTTGTGATAAACATGGCAACAAAGATGAGGACAATAGTCCGAATAATGTAAATAGTGTACGGATCCTCCAGCAATCACTCCATCCAATTATCATGTGAAAAAAAAAAAGTTTTCTAATATAACTCCAAGCCCCCCCCCCCCCCAAAAAAAAAGAAACTGGTTGAACTAAAGATTCGAGAAAACACTGAGCCTTTCTAATGTTAGGATTAAAAAGAAGTTCCTGGAGATTAAAGAAAACTTGATATCCAGCAACGACTCCTGTAGAGAAACTGTTGTGGAATATAACGTTAGACTAACACGTGTGACACCAAAAGGGACAAAAAGACAAAAATAAAAAAAAAATAAATCAAAATGTTGTTATTTAATATTTTATTATTAAAATCATTTTGGGGAAATAGTTATTTTTTATTGGTCGTTACTAATTTATTTATTTTTTTTATTATTTAGAAAAAAAGATTAATATCACAGCCTTGCGCCATAAAGCGTCCATATTTGTATGAAAAATAAAATGGTGAATCATGAATCGTACAAAATGCGTTGGTGTCTTCCTTCCGTACATCAATAAATATCTTTTCAATCGACGTCCGTCTACCTCGGGGTCGTGAACTGCAGTAAGAGGATAACGAGTCTGATTATTGTATAAGAATTTCTCAAAAGAAAAGAACATTCATTTCACTGATCTTTGACGACTCGCCTTCAGATTCTTCAAAACTGACAACAAAAGACGCTTTTTAAAAGAATTCACAATCCTTCAAGCACTTCCAATAAATATTACCTCTGCTTTCAGGAATATTATTGAATGGAGTTTTTTTTTTTTTTTTTTTTACACATAAACAGTTTTCTCCTATTTTTGTTTCTTTCGTTTATTGTAGATAAAGACATGAGCCAATATATTTTTATTGCTGTTTTGCGCAGAAGAGATTTATTGGCCAAATCCGAAGATTTGAGAGCGCCATTGTTCATTTCTTCATAATAACGTACTTGATGTAACTGTAGAACTTATACAAGTTTAAGCCAATTGATGTTCCCTGAAGATCACCAGAGTTTCATTCAAAGCTTTTAATTGATGAACAATTCGGGTTTTCTCTCTACCACGGTCTCCAAACTGGGAGATTTTGTTCAATTCCTTGTCTGTTACTTGTGTTGATAGATTGTGAGGCATAGTACCCTGATAATGTTGGGGCAGTGTGACTGGGTGTGTGCACGGTACCAAGATAAAGCGGAACTGCAGACACGTAACAACCACCTGTAACGTTGTTTTCTGTCACAAGGGTTTTCATTTGGACAACGGTGGGAGAGTTAGCCGGGCTGATATTTGATACTGACGGAATGGGGGTGTTAGCAACATGCGTCGACTGAGTACCACTGGTCGATGGTGTCGGACTGGCGGAAGCAGCAGTAACATAAGGGACAGTTAGCGATTTATATGACGTTTCGCCAGCCATCATTAGACTAGTTTTCGAATGTTTTGAAGAGATTGGGAGCATTAGGTGACCTGTATTTTTTACGAAAACACTACCCAGTGGATGACCGTGACGAATCGGGTCTGTGGCTTGAGGAATGGGGATTTGATGGTGCTGCTGTGGTTGTTGGTGGGCAGGCATTGGTGTTGGCTGACTCGTCGTAGTCGTCGCCAGGGCTGGGGAGGTAGCGCTTGGCACCCGGACACATTTGCTCATATGATCAGTGAGGCGATTACGTGCCTCTTCGCTGTTCATGTAATGCATTACTTCAGCCGAGACGTCCAGAGGAACACGATATTTGCCTCCCAGGGAATCGGTCGTGATGTTTACCTGAGATTGTTGGTGAAGGAAGCGTAGGTATTTTACTGTCATTTCCAAAATGTCTACTTTTTCAAGCTTGGAGAATTGTTCACCCTAAAAAAAGAGAAAAAGAAAAAGGAAAAAAAACAATGAAATTTAACAATGATAATTTAAAGATAAAAGATAGAGACTTTGTGGCTGGGTGGGCAGGCAGTAAAAAACATTTTTGAATTACATTTCCTCGTTTCTCGTCTTTATGCCTGTCAATGACTACATTAATAATATTCCTGTGAAAATCTATTTGCATCTTTGCTTGCATTCTGCCCCTACTCACTTACATACCGTATACTATTTTGGCATCCTGCTCCTAATCATTTACATGTGTTATATCTTGTATGACGGAGCCTCCAATAATCACTCCGTCCACTCATCAGAGGGTATAACACGTCATCAGAAAAGTCTTCATGATAACGCCGATTTGTCAGCGAAACATGTCAAAAAATAAGTTTTCTAAATTTTCTTATATATTTGCCCTTCCATCGGATTCTCATTGTAGTTTACTATAAAACTTTGAAAAACCTCCGAGACAAAAAAAAATGAAACTGGTTGAACTAAAGATTCGAAAAAACAATGAGCCTGTCCAACGTTAGGATTAAAAAGAAATTCCTGGAGATTAAAGTAAACTTGATGTCATTTGATATCCAGAAACAACTCCTGTAGAGCACTGATGTCCCATTCCTACCAATGTCTCTCATCATAATGTTCATGTCAATGTCTATGGACATAATATAAGATACGAACTCTTCAGACAGAAATATATTCTGTTTTTGTGATTTGTTTAGAGGTTGAGTCTTACACGTAACATATCTTTCGCCAGGGTATTGACATCCAATATCATTAGCTTCGTAATGGTCATGAGTTCAAATGAAAATAAAAACGTTGTGTTGTAGTAATCTTCAACATGGGAAGCATGCTTAGAAAACCTGCGTTCAAATGCAGTTTTTTTTTGTTTTGTTTTTTACCGGAACCTAAATTTCGAATATTGAAAACAATGAGACAGACCAGTATTAAAGTTAGTGTAATATGAGTAACATGTCACAGGAGTGCCTGCTCGTAAATCAATGGCATATAACTTTGAAGACTGTTATGACGTTATTAGCTTTGCTCAATATTTACTGGGTACCCTATACTTGATTTTTTATTAGATGAAATTATCCTTAATAATATCATTGACTGTTTGCTCCAGATATTTTTTGCCCCTACTCACATGTCCAATACGTTTTTGCACCCTGCTTCTATTCACTTACATGTTCCATACCATTTTGCCATCCTGTCACTACTCACATCTATTATATCTTCCCCTAATCACATATCCCTTTTTTGCACTCTGTTCTCTAACATTTTTACACCTGCCCCTATTTAAATATCCCATATCTTTTTGTCTGCATCCTTCCCCTCCTCGCTCACATACACCATACCATTTTTGCATCCTGCCCATACTCACATGCCATATATCCATTTTTGCATCCGGTCCTTTCTCACTTAGATGACCCATTTCGTTTTTGTTTTCATGTCGTGCCAGGTGCCATATTTACATAAAAATGACAATGTTTTGTTTTTTTCGTTGAATTAACATCCAATTAAAAGTTGTACTTATTGCTTTGGTTTTTGTGTTAAGAAGATAGCTATAATCGTTGGCAGGTTTGAAATTCCATGCAAAGACACAAATGAATGAGATTCATTTACTAGCAACATCTCGTCCACAATGTCTCTTCCCCTAACATTACGATCTTATATCCGTAACTAGTAAGAAAAATAAAAACGACAATGACCCCTTTTGAAACATTGTAGATTTCTTGATGAAATCAATTGAGTTGTCTGGCTTTATCATGTCACAAGAAGAGTAAAGTCATTGCTGCCAGTTGCGAAAGCGTTTTGGGTGAAAGCGTATATCACACATTAGAGACACGCACCATCATACAGCCATTCGGCCTAACTCTCCCATTAACGGAAGTTAATATGCGAATCCGAAATAAATGCCTGAAATGGACACCGCTTCTTCTCAGTTTACGAAGACGCAGGAACAAAACGCTGAGAACATTTCCTCTAACATTGATATTCATATATTCAACCCGACAAACGTCAAACCTATCAACATGATTCCGCAGGAAGTGATTTAAAACTAAGCTATATTTGGTATAAGGCCAAAATAGTAGAGCACATTATGGATTGGTGTAAAACTTACTTGAAACTGTTTGTGAGACTAGCATGCAAATAATCATTTAATAGAAGGAGACTGAGACAATTCCAAGTCAACCATTTTGTTGAATTCAAGGAAGAACTCAGATTTGTTAACAGATTGTTTTATTTTCTGACTACATTTTTTTACTTCGTCTATGATTTGATGGATGTACCTAGATATATAGGTAGATAGGAACAGATTGAGATATATATTAACAGACTGTGACACACAGACATACAGATAGATAGATAGATATGAAGAGACTGCGATAGATAGATAGATAGATATGAAGAGACTGCGATAGATAGATAGATAGATATGAAGAGACTGCGATAGATAGATAGATAGATATGAAGAGACTGCGATAGATAGATAGATAGATATGAAGAGACTGCGATAGATAGATAGATAGATAGATAGATAGATAGATAGATAGATAGATAGATAGATAGATAGATAGATCTATTTGAGAAAGGGGTGCTAAGAAATTTCTATATACTTACGTCCTTCTTCAACGCTTTCAGTACCAAAGTCTTCAGTTCCACAAGGCAATTATTAATGCGCGTCCTTCGACGCTTTTCCATCATAAGTTTGTTGATCTGAAAAACAAAAAAAAAAAAATAATTAAACCTTTATTCCTCAAAGAAGAAATATGAATTAACCAACATAAAAAAGAGAAATGTGCTTTGATTCGCCAGCCATTATGATATTTCTATCACAAATGTCTATTTGTAGCCATGTGATGACTTACAAAAAGAATTCAAATAATTTTTCTCGAGTAATTAATAAGTTTCAAACTCACAATCAATCGACAGTGAATCAAGATCATTTTTCGATCATAGTATTTAATGTTAATGGGTATTTGTGTGAGGCGTTTGCACAGGAAATTGTTCAGCCTCCTCCCTGTGAAAATGATGTGAACTAATTTGATTCTGCTAATAATTTTTATAACTTAAACCATTTATTGGACACATTGCCACCGTTTGATATTTGTTTACTTTTCATCGTCTATATTAATAAAAAAAAAACAAAAAAACAAGAATGTGTAAGGATATTATTTCGTTTTGATTTACTTTTCCTAATCTGGGAATCGGTCACTGTCACCCCCAAACCCAAAGTGTTAGAATTCACATAAACGCATTAGCATAACACACTTTCGTCCGTCTCCATTAGTTAAAGACCAGTCTCCCAAACATTCCGAAAGTGGGCCTGTATAGAAACACAGAGTCAAAAAAACTACCCTCTTATTTCAGAATAAAAAATACTGATAGTCGACACGAGTAAAAGCTAAATGATGTCTTAAACAAATATTGGGAAATGAACGTATCAGATGCCAGGATTTTTCAGTTAATTTTGTCTAAATTTTCCATCAAATCACTGGTAGTTTTAAATTAAATACTTATTTTCAGTAAGTGTAAATTAATATTTTAAATTTTGACTGTATTACTATTATTAACTTATAAATATACGGAATGTTTTTCTTTTTTCTGATTTGAACGGTTTTGCTCCTCTACCAGATTTTGAAGCAAACAGTGAATCACGGTAAAAAATCGTTATCATTTGTTCTTCGACAAAAAGGAAGCTTTGTATTTCCCAGTTGAACAATAATCAATGTGTTGTTGTGGAATATCCTCGAGGTACAGTTAATAATAGCATTAATGACAACGGCGTTAACGATCGATGTTTGAATCCAGACACAAAACGGTCATGACAGACATCACACTCATATTTTTTAAAAATGGCGCGACAAAATTTTTTGAGCGGTAAAAATAAACAATATGCGGCGATCAGGTGATACAAATGTAATAAAATAAATATTTTTAGTAGACTGTCCGCGAAATATCAAAAACAATTCTTCTGTTGGGGTTTTAGAATTAATTTCTTTACATTGTTACAATGTTTTTGATAGCAAACAACGCCAGTTCAACATGGAAGATAAATAAATAGTCAGTTCGAATCTTCGAATGACATTTTATTTTACTAAAACAACTTCTTGACTGAGAGGGAAATAGACCCCACCACAACCCAACGGTTATTTCCACGTCTCATTACCTGGTTTCGTCGACACGAAGGTAGTTCTTTTTTTAAATTTTTAAGAAGCGCATCCATATTGAAGAATATGGGTATTTCGACGTGGTGCATTGGTTAACCAACTTGTTTCGCTAAATCAATTATGACTGAAGTGAGTTCGATCATCACATGAATTCGCCATTATGCCACATCTGAACTACACCATAACAATTAAAGTACATATTTTGTGTCTGTTCATAATGTCAATGACAAGGATAGAAGAATAAGAGGTTTTCGTTTCATAAGGATTATTTACTTTGTGTGTGTGTGTGCGCATATATATATATATATATATATATATACATGATATTTGAAATGGACGCCCCATTTTACTTATTAAACGGTTTGTATTACGCCTATCGGCCTACACATTCTAGAAATCTTAGTAAAGAATATGACTTTATGAGCAGATCGAAAGACATAACACATTCTGTTTATTTAATAAAAATGGGGCGTCTATTTCAATTACTAAATTTACAGGATAATAAGGTTTGAAGTAATAAAAATATCAGATTAAAAAAACAATCCATTCAGTCTTTATATATATATATATATATATATATATATATATATATATATATATATATATACACAAAAATAAAAAACATCATAAGATGTAAGATTTCAAAAGTCCTTAGGGATACTTTAAGCTTAGTTTAGTTCATCAAATGGGCAAATTTATTTACTAAGCATAAATCACCCTGGTAAAAGGTCACGGGAATTGAGTTCCTAGGGAAATGAATGTAACTGCATGCCAATATTTCTTAATTATTGTATTGTGTTGGGAATTACGTCATTTCGCCACTTTGTGGGTGTGTGTGTGTGTTACCTGTCTTTGTGTGTGCATGCATGTCTGTACTGTATGTGTATGTGCGTGTGTATATACGATGCATGTGACAGGTCTTGTTTTTCATCCTACTGGGCGTTTATCCCCTCCCGCTCCTCACCAGAAAATCCTTGTGAGGTAACGGGTTTAGTTGGCGATAACCCGATCATGCAGTAAGTAGTAGTGGGAAATGGAGTCCTTCATGAGATCAATGGTCATCTAGCAGAGGTAAAGGGATATAGAAATACTAGGGTTGGTGTGTTCAGCCCCGCAAGTAAGCCCACTGGTCACGTTGGGCCCCTTTTAGCCTTTGTTAAGGTATTCAACTAAAGAAGCTACGGCTGGACAGCATTCACTGATGTTGGCTGGTTCTTCTTTTTTGGGTCCGTGTAGTTCTTTGCTTGGGGGGTGGGATTTGGCCCAAGGCAACGTACTCTTTTACATCATTTTAAAAATTTCAAGCACAGGCATTGCTTGATATCGTAAGTTGATACTTTGTGATGGTCATACTCGACAACGAATCGGTAACCATCATGATGTATTTGTGTGTGTATGTGTGTGTGTGCGTGAGTGTACCAAACACAAAAATAAATAAAAAACAATTTAACTTAAAAATTAATTTAATTAAAAAAAAAAAACCGAAGCTTGAACGATGGAATTTAAATTGAGTATTAATATTAAAAAATATTTTTTTTTAGTCGACCAACTTTACTTTTATTTTAAAACCTGGATTAGTAGTACATTTTTATTCGTAAATTTATAGTCGTTTTTCGTAGTTGATAAAAATCTAGATATTTTCTTTACTAATGTTACTTTAGTTTAGGAGAAGGCTATAACATCCATTGTGGATCGAACTTATTATAGTCATATAAATAGAGTACTACTGCCCCCCCCCACAGACCCGTGGGGAAACGACTGTCACAGCTGTTTGTTTTCAACTAAAGACAAATAACATCTTTGTGAGTGTTCAGATGATGAGCCTGTTTGTCAGTGAAGCATTGCATGTTTACATGATTAAAAAGGAAATCGAAAAAGTCACCTGTTGCGTGCAATTTTTGTCGGTGGGGGGGTGTTGTGCTAATTAAATAGGGTTGCATGTTTGTGTTTTCAGTTTGTCGGCTTTACACTTTGTTTTTAATGTTCCGTGTGAAAAGCTTCCCGCAGAATTGAACGGAAAACCTCAATAATTATGTCACAATAACAGAATGATTTTAAGAAATAATGTTTGAAAATATTTTCGTGAATAAATTAGTAATTGCTCTGTCCTTGAAATTGAAAAGCTTCATGGAAATGGACTTCTTTTTTTTTTTTTTTAAATCGTTAAATAAGGAGGGATGGTTTAAAAAGTGGTGATAAAAAGGATAATTCTTTTTTCGGATATTTTCTCAGCATGATTTCATGTAAAGAATTTGAAATCATTTTTGTTGCCTTTCTAAAAAACAAAAAAAAGATAATGGCTTAGCTTTCAGTCAATAGGCTTCTGTTTTTGTTTTTGTTTTTGTTTTATTCGATTGGGTTCATAATGGAGGTAAATCGAAGGCCAGAGGAAGGGATTTTTCAAAAAGTGGGGATACAGTAATTCTTTTCTTTTACTGGTATTTTCTCGACATACTTTCCTGTTAGGAATCTGAAATAATCTCATCGCGTTTCTATAAAGAATAAAGACTATCTTTCTATCAGTCAATTGTTAGCCTTCTGTTTGTTGTTTGTTTGTTTTTCTTGATTTCTTTGCTGCAAATAAAAGTAGACCCCACTTCATATTCGACATAACACAATCGAATCGTGGTTTTACCAAACCTTTTTCCATACAGAGGCACGAGAAAATTTGACAAAAACGCTCAAATATTAATTTTTACTATTTTAAAAGATCTGCCTTTTCTTATCCGATTCATTACTTTTTCAAAAAATAGGAATATTTCTAAATAAGTGTACTGTACACGTTTTTGAGTTCTGGAGAAGATTAAACACTGTGAGTGGCGGCTTATATGTAAGATATCTTTTAAAAAAAAAAGTCTTAAAATACTAATAAATACTAATAATGTTTGTATGCGCGGGTGGTGTAACTGTTATCGTCACTGGGAACGAAATCGTTAACCTGAGTTCAAATGATACCAGAAGCTGCTGCGTTAATGTTACACTGATGTCCTTAATAAAAACATGAGTCAATTTCTTCTTTATCAATTAGGTAATAATGTAGAGTAGACCGGGCTCTCTTGCCTTAGTTGGCAACCCGTCTAAGAACAACACAGAGTTTAAAATCGGGAAAAGACAACAGGAAACAATTCCCCAGTCAATAACAATCGTTAATTCTCAATAGACTGATATAAAAGAAAAAAGGAAATTATGGAGAACCACAATCATTTTCATTTCGAAGAGAAATACTTGTAAAAATGTATTTGTTTTAAATTAATAATAAAGTAGAAGAAATGATTAATAAATAAACCAACAAATCTTTAAAGTCGATATTTTTCGCGCTTATAAAATGAAAGGCGACCTAATTTTCTGTTTAATCCTAGATTAGTGTTTAAAGATATAATCTATAGCGAAATAATATTTAAGATACAGTTTATTATAATCTTTCTGTTTACATATTTGAAAATAAATGAACCCCCTTTTAAGTAAATTCGTAAAAAAAACATAAAAGTTCAACATTTCTTATTGTTTGTAGAATCATTTAGAGCCAGTCATGTTTTAAACGCTTGTTTTATTTTATTTCAATACAAAGCATTTCGAAATAGAATATTAAAATATTTTAAAACTTTGTTTAAATAAAAAAACACATTGGTGAGCAATGAATAAGGATGTGAGGAAATTGAACACTTGTTGAAAAAGACGATTGCTAAGTATCTTTTTTTAAGTGTTCGTAGTTTTCCGAAATTAAAGCAAAAGATATAAAGAACAAAAGCAAGAATTTAAATAAAACTTACCTTTCGATGTGTTGAGGTTTTTCCTGGAACAGTGGTCGTTGTAATCTCGTCCAACATTTTGACTTTTAATATGTGAAAGAAAACGATTTCACTCTAAGAATAGTTATACAATGCAATCAAACAAAAATCCCTTTTTAATTGTACAAGTCGTTATAATCTTAATATTATTCTAATATTGAAATTTTGTTCGAGAAAGTTTGTTTTCTAACCGATACGTTCACAGTCTGGAGAAAAGAAAGAAATCGTATGAAAGGGGGCCGTTGTAACACACGCAAATTGTAAACATGGACTGAGCCGAAAAAAAAATGTAACACAGAGTTAGAGAGAGAAAGAGTGTGTGTGAGAATGGATGAAGGAGTCCCTCATCGACTTAACGTGTTAAGGAAATGATCCATCTCAGGCGGGGAGACCTCCATATTTATTGGCGGCCCCCCGCCCCCTTCCCCGCTCCCAGGACACGAGCTGGTCTGCTGTTTGCTGTGTGTGTGAAACAGTACGACAACACTTTCCCACGCTAAACGTTTGTACACCTTCTGACGCGCATTGCCGACAGTGTGTGACCAAAACGACTTGTGGCAGGCGACGGGCGACCAGCTTATCCACCCCACAGCCGACCTTGTGTACCCAACAGCTTCTTCAGGTGTTGGGCACTATGGGTAAATGGGTGTGTGTCTTTGTGTGTGTGCGTGCGTGGAAGAGAGAGAGAGAGAGAGACAGAGACAGAGAGAGGGAGGGTGTGTGTGCGTGTGTATGTGTGGATATCTGCATGTGATTATCTATCTATCGGTATGTGCGCGTGTATGACACTAAGAAAAGAACAGGTGGAGCCACGTGGAGAGTCTGTGTAGTTATGTAAGTGCATTTCTACTGGGTGCGTCAGGGTTGTACGTGCGTGTGCGTGTGTGTGTGCGCGGGCGCGCGTGTGTGTGCCTGCAAGAATTTCTCTTTTACTTGGTAAATAATAATACGTATGTGTTGTTCTTAGATCCGCGATAGAAACATTCAAAATTGAACTCTCTCTCTCTTGCTTCGATATTTTTTAAATACATTTATAAACAAATATTTTTTTTAAAGGAATTATTTTTTTATTCAGCATTATTTCTTATTTTATATTCCTATATTTTTAATAATTTGTGAAAAATGCTTTAAAAAAATTAATATACTAAAAAATAAATGATTTTATTATTAAAATAATTATTAAATATATGATAATTAAAATTATTAAAAATAAAAACAAATCATTTTTAATCTGACATTATTGCTATAAACCTTAAGAAAATATGTTTAAGTAGATATTCTTTTTTCAGTTTTGCTTTCTTTTAAATGTAAAATCAATTTTTACCTGCCTTGGGATCGCACACCCTACTAAAGAAAATGTACCATTCGACAGGAATCGAACCTGAATTCTCTTTTTAATCGAATTGCTTTCCCAGATTACCAAGGGGATACAGACCGATTCCTGTCAGGAGTCACGTTTTCTTTAGTAGCACTTTCGATCTCCAAGCCGGTAGATATTGATTGAATTGTTAAAAAAAAACGAGCAAAAAAAAAAAAAATTTATTCTCAAAAACATCTACTCAATAAATATAAAGTTTATATTAATAAGAAATTTGAAAATGTGTGTATATGTGTATGTGTGTGTTTTGTCTTCGATTACACACATACACGCATATTCACACATAAAAAAAATATTAGTAATATTCTATTAAAAAAATGTAATTCAAAATTATCAGAACATGCTTGAAGGAGTAAAAATGGTTAGAACTTGGTGGGGGGAGTGAAATTGGTCAGAAACTTTTCGAAGGACTGAAGAATTATCGAAACTTGGTCGGAGGAGTGAAAATGGTCACAGCTTCTTCGAATGACTAAAATTCGTAGGTACTTTATCGGAAGACTGAAAATTATCAGAATCACTTCGAAAGACTGAAAATGGTTGAAACTTCTTCGAAGGACGGAAAGATGATCGGAACTTGGTTGGAGGACAGAAAATGGTCAGGACATCTTCGAAAGATTGAAAAATATTCATAACTTACTCGGAGGACTGAAAATTTTCAGAATTTCTGTGAAGGGCAGAAAAATGGCCGGAACTTGGTGGCAGGACTGAAAATGGTCAAAACTTCTTCGAAGGATTGAAAGTGGTCTAAATTTATTTAAAGGATTGAAAAATTATCAGAGTTTGGTTAGAAACCGAAAATAGTCGGATGTGCCTTGAAGGAATGCGGAATAATTGGAACCTATTTAAAGGAGTGGCCAGAACTTGATCGGAGGGCTAAAAAATGGTCGCTTTCAGAAAGTATCAATTTTATCCGAAATTTACAGAATCAAAAAGTGACGAGACAAATAATTGCACACGTTTACAGAATCATCATCATTCATCATTTTGCCAACCGTAGTCGGGATGATCGAACCAAAACGAACGATCCTTTCTTTAGCTGTATAGTATGTTCTACGCCAGGGTTACATACAGTTTTGTATTCTCCTAGACTGGTTGCCACCCAAGGCTCTAGAAACCAGTCTATCCCGCTATTTACCCATAGCTGGGAGGAAAGAAGAGGATTCATACCTCTCCCAAGAGTATTAAAACGTAAGTGAATGTAATGGATCCGATTGGAATTTGAACTCGGCTCTTCGATTTCTCAATTAGAGTCGCTATTATTCAGAATAGGGGCTTAACAAAGTGTGTTTTCCTAATCCAGAATTTGAAATTTTCAACTTACGGGTTTTAAGTCTAATTAATTCTAAGTATAGTTTCGGAAAGCTATTTTAACATTTAATCTTGCTTGGGACTAAACCCGTGATATAAATTCATATTAATACGTGTATGAGAACATTGAAACTACGGAATAATGTCAAATTCGCCAGATGCCGAACACTTCCTCTCTACTATCAAACCATCTACGATCCATTAATTACTAGAATATCCTGACACCACCATCTTAGCAAATCATCTCGTTGTCGGTAATTATATGAGTGTTTCTGATAAATATCTTAAAAGTTTTCGCCGCGTACAGCAATATATATCTATGACCCATTTACGTGTCATCACTCGTAAATAAAAAACTTGAAAATAAAAAGAAAATGTCCGGAATTTGAATGAAATAAGTCAACAAACAGATGAACAAAAAGAGAAAATAGCAATCCCAAGCAGAAAAATATATAAATCTAATAAATATCTCCTAAGCGGCAATATTCTTTAGATGACAGTGTACATCTTTCATCGTTTCTCTGCTCCCCAATCTTTCCTTGATCTCCGTCACTCCTTATTCTAAATGAACGTAGAGGTATTGAGAATAAAATGGTCGTCTTGGTCTTTTTTATCTTGCACAAAAGAAGTTTTAGCAGCTGAGTCAGTTGTAGATGTCTCATCGGTGTCACTAATCTATGCCTGACCGCAATATAACAAGATTTTTCTCCTTTTTCTTTTTTATCGTTTCACCCCAATCAAGATGATAAAGCCACTATGACTCAAGGGGCTTACTGACAGTGAAAGAAACTGAGAAAACGTTACTGAGGAGAAAGGACAGTAAAATAAATAAATAAATAAAAATAAAAAATAAAACGACGGAAGATGAGGATTGAAATTGTATTTAAAATTTTTTAGATGGTAATCACGAAAACAACAAAAAAAGAGAAAGTTCCATAGGCGAAAATTACGAGAGAAGAAATTATTAGAATAGAACTTACGGTTACACTTAGAAATTTCAACTGTAAAATGGGGAGACGTAGCTTACTAGTGTTATACAGATTCACTATTTACAAGGTCCATTGACTCCATTTGAACTTATATCGTTTTAAGCGAATAGAAAATATCAAGTCTGGCACAAGACTAATAAGTTCGAGTGGGAAAACGTGCGCTCATGTGTGTGTTTGTGCGTGTGTGTGTGATGATTGATTTCATGTTCGCATAATGTATGTAAACATTCGAAATTATATGAATTCAGTTTGGGGCAGATTTTATGTTCCGTAATGAAGGAAAAAAAAAACTGTTATAGCTGTGACGCCAAAATATCAGATGAATTGTTTTAAAGTCTTATGCTGTTTTGCAAAACGGCCACTCGTGAAATCACCAATGGGAAAGACATGTAAGTTAAAACACCTCACGCATACATAGACACAAACACGCGCGCGCGCGCAAACAAACACATACACGCACACACTCACTCACACACACATACGTTTTTTTTTCCTTTTCTCTCAGACATAATTTGCTTTTTTTTTATCTCTTTACACACACACACACACACACACACACACGCACCCTCTTTGCCACATGCAGATAAAAACGGAAACTTTTTGTTTAATCTTTCGTAGGTCAAAGTAAAACTTAGATGTGAAAGGAACGGACATTTTCCGTCGATTGAAAATCTTAATAATTATATGCAATGTATGGCGATGTATATGTGTAAGATTTGTGTTTGCGCAAAATAACTGTACATGCCTTGGTGTGGAATTGGAGGGTATGTACGTATATAGATATATGTGTATGTACATATGTGTGCGTGTGCTCGTGCTTGCTCTGCTGGCGTTTTAGGAATGGGCATGAGATTTAAAAGAATGTGTGTGTGAAGCGAGAGAGCGAGAGAGGGTGTGCGTGTGTGTGTGTGTGTGTGTGTGTGAAGAGAGAGAGAGAGAGAGAGAGAGGGTGTGCGTGTGTGTGTGTGTGTCTGCGCGCAATCAGTTTGGGCGCATGTGGCCAACACCTCGCTATACGTGTGGGAAAAGTATGCGTGAGCTGGGTAGTGAGTGACATTATCACGACGTCAGCCGAGTTGTCTCGGGTTGATAGGAATGATACGATGGAAAAAGTGACTGAGGAACACGAAGAAAAAGAAAAGTTATTTCTCTCGCAACTTCACAGGCTCTCTCTCCCCTCTCTCTCTCTTTTCCTTTTTTCTCTCTCTCTTTCTCTCTCTCTCTCTCTCTCTCTCTCATACACACACAGTGCCAACAAAAGAATCAATACTGCATGGTAACTGTCAGTTTTACGCCTTAAGTGATCATCAAATCACTTATACTTATCGCCACATATTCGCTAAAAAATGTGTATACCACGATGA